TACATATAGAGACGCACGTGCACACAGACATGTATGATATATATAAATGTAATAATATATACACACATTTTATGTAAACACAAACTTTTATGTTAGATGCAATTAATCGTGATTAATCGATTTGATAGCATGTTTGTGTGTGTTTGTGTAATGTCTTAAACAAATAAATAAAAAATATCTTATATTTATATCTCACATTAAACTTTTTTTGGTGACTACATTATTCCAATACTTCAATGTGTGTTGCTTTTTGATAACTTCACTATTACTCTAAAATGTGATCAATGTTAATAATTAACGATGAGTAGGTGTGTCTAAACTATTCACTGGTAGTGTATGTTAAGATTTTGTGTATATACACAAACATTAATGGTTTTAGAGAAACCTAAAGTGCACCACACATCATCTAAAAGGTCATTTGGAGTCCCTTACAGTTAATTGTGGAAATGAGAGACATTGAGTGAATGAGATGATTAATTAATAACAATTATCAGAGGTCTGATAATTCACTAGTAAGGAGAACATCAAGAGTGCTTAATTGCCCTGACGAGTCTAGATGTGCTTTCCTCCAGACTGTCCAGGGTTATTAAGTGCGCTGAGTTGCCTTGATATGTTGGCCATGCTTAAAATATGATTGCAGGACTGATGGAATAAAAACAACCTGTAATTGCTGGGTATCGCTGAGCCTGAAGATGATTTAGGAACCCAGTGGGGAACTACATAAATAAACAAATAAATAAAACCTTTTTACATTTTAAACAAACCACTAAGACCATTCCTAGATAAATATGACAGTAGAATTATTTAACCATTATTATAGCTCTTTATTTTGGATTTGGTCTTTTTTTTTTATCAATTAGCCTAAACAATAACTAAAACAAAAGACTTTCCAATGTTCGCTGAGTTGAGTTGATAAAACCTGCTTTCTGTTATGACGTTTTACTCAATAATTTTTCCAAATTTTTACATTAATTTCATTTAGAAATCAAATTGGTTTGTAGCTGTTGAGAATTCAGAACACCTAACTAATACTTCTGATAAACAACTTCCCTTAATAGTTTTCCATAAGCTTGAATAAACTTGAAATAATTTATTGATTTAGTAATGTAAATTAGCAGACATATACACTTAGAAATACATTTTAATGATGCATATATAAGTGTATACATTTAATTATGTATTTATTAATGTTATTATGTATAAATAAATATGTAAATTATATATTATATATTTAACAAAATAATATATATATATATATATACACACACACACAGGTATACATTTTAATGATGTAAACATAATATTGTAATTTTTAATTTAAATATACTGTATAATGTATAAATAAATGTGTAAATAAATATATAATTAAATATTTAATGAATAAAATAATAAAATACATATAAATATAAATGGGTTAGGGTTTATATATGTATATATTATAATATCAGTTCTATTTTCCAACGTCAATAGAAATAATTTCCTATGTAGAATTCATCAAAATGTCTCTCTAGTGCAAAATGACGTACAAAACAAGGCCTTGTTTTTGTAGTGACAGCAAAACACTGTAATATTTCCAAATACCATGATACAGGCAAATGAACAGCAGAGAAAATAAAGAGTAACAGCCAATGCCACCATAAGTGACTCCTTTCTTTTAGTGCCACGGTCCATACATTGGAAAAAGAAAGACAGACAAAGAAATGCATATAGAGAGAAAAGGGGCCTGAAATGAGGTTAACACACTCACTTACACTGATACACATGTCCTTTTAAGGTCCCTCAATGGGGGAACCCTCATCTGTGTCTTCAGAAGTTTTTTTCCACCCTCAATAAACAGGCCAACCATTGTCACATGGAGGGCTCTCGTTATTATTTTTTGAAGTAATTACACCTTATTATCTGTGTTTACTTTAGCGAGGGCGAGTGCAGGTGTGGGACAGGGAGTAGTGGGTGGTGGTGATGGGCCGCACTGCTGAACAGTTGCCCCTGTGAGTCAGTTTTTTTACTCAAGGTTTGGGCATTGTAGCTGTGCTCTGCCACTAATTTCAGACCCACAAAAGAAACGTGCAATTAGGCCTATTATTGCAGCAGCTGCGCTCCCTGCACGACGGCCCCCTGTCTTCTCTTGGCTCATGCTGGAGATGCTCGCAAACACCCCAAGTGCGAACGCAACACCCATCCTAGTGTGACACAAACACCACAGAATGAGCAAATAATAAACTTTAGTATATCTCGATATAGTAGGATCAAATGATATCAGTATATAAAACTAAAGCGAGGGTGTGAATTAATTTTTCATTATAATAAAACATTACATTTGATTCTGTTTTCAGATATATCGGTATTGATATTTATTGAAATAACACATATAGCATATACCATGTTGTAATTGATCAAAAGTGACGGTAAAGAAATGTATAATGTTACAAAAGCTTTTATTTCAAATAGATGCTGTTCATTCCATTTGTCAAAGAATTCTGAAAAAATTGTAATCACAGTTTTCACAAAAATATGAAGTAAGCACAACCGTTTTCAACATTGATAATAATTAGAAATGTTTCTTGAGCAGCAAATCAGCATATTAGAATGATTTCTGAAGGATCATGTCACACTGAAGACTGGAGTAATGATGCTGAAAATTCAGCTTTGATTAAATTACATTTTTAAATATATTAAAAACAGAAAACAGTTACATTTTACATTGTAATAATTTTTCTAAATATTACTGTTTTTAAGTAAATAAATGCAGCATATGTGCAAAAGACTTCTTTAAAAAAAATGTAAACATAGTAATTAATAATTATTGTTTAAATGCACTAAAATTCACCCTATTTCAACTTAAAAAAAAACTTAAGTTCAGTGGCTGCCTTCAATTTTTAAGTATGATCAATTTGGCTGATTAGTCATTTCAACTTAAATTATATTACACTGACTTAAAGAAATCGAGTTGAGTCTCGTATAACGTATTTTTAACGTATTTTTTTTACATTGTGTTTAACGTTTACATATATTAAAAAATATCTTATATTTTTAAGCATTGCACCTGACTGATTCATACATAAAAAAATAAATAAAAAAAAAGTTTTAGATTTGTCGCCATTGATTTCAGGTCAGGACGAGTGACCTGTTGCCAGAATTTAAAAGGATCCAAATTCACTATCAATTGCTAACAGGACAAAAGAAATAATATAGTGGAAAATACTATATGCGTTCTTAATCATTCTCTTGAACTGTGAAACTGAATTTTTGGGGAAGCCACAAAGACCCACCTTGCTCAAACACAAGAGGCCAATCTTCCGCCTTCAGGCACAAACAAAATGGCCCTGGAATCTCCAATGTTGCTCTCACTTAGTGATTTTCACACCTCGATGGCTCTCCAACAATTAAAATAATGATCCAGCGCAGAGCACTTATTTTGAAGGGCATGGGTGGATTTACATGTTATGATTGTGTGCGCCTGCAAGATGTGGGTGTCCCTGATGTCAAAAAAACGAGGATGTAATCATAAATTTGACATCAAGTCATTAAAGTCAGAACCAACAACTCAAAATCTATTCAAAAACACATAGTTTAGCAAGTAGATGCAGCCTCATAAATGTACACTTAAGGGTGTTTTACACTTGAATTAGTTAACCCTGGGTCATTCTAAAGCCTGGGTAAACGGAATCCCGGGTTAACTTTATTCACGTTTCACTCTGCTTCTACTAGACCAATTAATTCTGGGTATTCATAACACTTTGCTTTCCTAAACCACGTCCTTATTCGTGGTGTCACTGATTGGACGAACGTGGCATGAGATATATTTACATAAAGGCTCTAGCATTGCACATCCTCATATTATACACTGCCAAATATCAAGTTTACCCTTATCGGACTATAAAGGTAATAATGAAATTGATGCATTTTCTGTAACCATCTCACATTTTTCACCTAAAATCCTGAAACTACTGTTTATACAAGGAGGTCAGTTTCCATGACTGCAAAAAGCACATGAGGCATGCGATTGGCTGTCGGTTGCTAAGCATGTAGCCTAAACATTCTAACGCCACATCGTTTCACACTGTACAAGTTTAGCACAGATCAGTGGTTTAGCACCGCAATGGGGGGTTAACAGCGCAAAAGCGGTACTAACTCTACTCCGGAGCTAGGTTTCATAACCTCGGGTAAAAAACTGTGCAAACCTTCTTAATTACAAGTGTGAAATGTTCCTGTACCTGGGGTTAAAAGCAGGGTCTAGAACGACGTCGATAACCCGGGGTTAAGCGCAGTGTGAAAAGCCCATAGCCATAACAAACCAATTTGATGTATGTCATAGCCAAACATGCATCAAACAAATAATTTCATTCATTTACAAATTATATTTTAAATTTTGGGGAGAGAAACTACGCAATTCAAGGCTTTAAAACATGAGTGAAATGATGGTAGACTCCTCTGCGGTAGGAGATGCCTTATTGCCATTGATTTCAGCTCATTATGTCCTTGGGACGCACAGCCACAAATCCAGAGAAATCATTTTGCTAGGGGGGAGTGCGGCTGGGCAAATTGGCTTCTGGTTCTGTGTGGGAGCTCTCGCTGTGAAGAGCAAAAGAGCAGGGCCCGGTCGGGAGTGGGCAGGCCCAGGCAGGACCGGCTGGGGCTCACGCTGTGACCACCTCCGTGCCTCAGAGACAAACACTTCACTGGATAATCTCCCCACCAGAGACTCTGCCGAGCCCCATGGATGCAGGGGGAAGAGTCAGGGCACAGGGGAGCAGTTTCAGATCAGGGGCCTGGATGTGTGCAGCTGCATCACTGAATGTTACATGGAAGTCTGCTCACTGCCTAACAATATGTAACAGACTTTCCTGTGCCGTTTAGAAAAAAAAGACGATTACAAATCATGCATGCAAAACAATGAAATAGAAGAAAACTGAAACAGAATAGGGAAAACATTTCTTTATTATCACAATTATTAACACAGGTTGCATTTAAGAGAGGGGGGAAAAAACATTTTACAACGTTTTACAACGATGGGCTTCTTACAGAAGTAATAAGAGAAATCACATTTTGTATTGACAGAACAAGCTGACAATATACAAATGTGGAAAAATCTATTTTCAGCTCAAGTAATCCATCATTAAGAGGTTTCCATCTTGTATCCGTGTTTTTCAAGCTCCGCTCTTAAAAGAATGGAAAAAAAGTGGGGGAAAGTTAAAAAGTGCAATAACTCACAAAAACAGAAATAATTAAATTGGTAAAAGTATTAAAATGTTCACATCATTTAAATAACTTTTTTATATTTAAAAAAGTATTTGTAAATTTAATATTACAACTCAAATTCAATATTTACATATATTTAACTTAATTTCAAAAAGTAAATCATAAAATTACAACTTTTTTGTGCTATTCTTTCTCAATTAAGTCTCAATAATCATGTATCATCATATACATTAACAAAACAAACATTTCCAGTGTTGAAAATCAAAAAGTGTTTCACAAGAAATGCCAATAGATTTATAGCTTCCAGGCTTCGGGAAATTAATGTTTAATATGGGGAACGAATGGAAAGCATTAACTATTGAGAATAGTGATTTACTCATTTTTTTTTTTCAACTTAAAATATATATGCAAGCATATTAAATGGCTGTATTTAATGAGGTCAAGTCCTCACACATAGGAAATGAATGTGGTTTGAGGCCACCATGAGTGTCAGTTAGCCATTGGACATTGGATCCCTTAGGGACTGTTTTCTTCTAAATGAGTGCAACCACACAAAATTCTTTAGAAAAAAAAGTGGGTTTCACAGGGTCCGAAGCCTCTAGCAGTAGACAAGAGGACAACACAATATGCATGCCTAGCAGGATTTATTCACTGTGAATTTAGATTAGGCTAGTGCACTCCATGTTTAGGATTTAACCATCTTCTTCTCCGTTTCGTATGTATAATTACACAAATTCAGTAAGTAAATACTTACCTCAGCTGATTAGAAAAGTCATCCTCTACATTGTCATCATCCCAGTTATCTTCCCAAACATGAGCATCCTCATCTTCATCCAGGCCTGTCCAGTCTGGGAATGGCAACAATTCAATGAGGCTGATGATTTACATTACATAGGCCAGGCCAGTCCAGCTCCACACACACTAGTCACTCTGCATAGTGTGGAGCTGTACAGTCAGCATTTATTCATTTCAACCAAAATTAATAAATAAAAGTAGCCAAATTCAGTACATGGCATGCACGCAAAGCAACAGAGAAATAATTACTGCAAACAATGTTGCACTGTTAGCTTTAGTGGTACTAAAAATGCTAGCTGCTAATAAATGCGTAGTAATGTTGTTTAGTTAGGTATGTGGACTTGGATAACTCAAGTATTTTATAAGAAATACTATAAGAGATTGTATTTAATTCATATCTTTTATTTTCGAGACCGACAAAAAAAGCCATTTGTTGAATAAAGCAAACAATGTTCTGTCGGTTAGCATAGCAATGCTAGCTGAGTCACTGTCTTATTGTGGGCGTTTATTTACCCTTGCATTGGCAAAAGAGCGTATTTCTACTAAAAACACAATCAGTTTCAGTTCACTTACCCTCTGCTGGGAATTCTTCAAATTCATCATCTTCCTCCAACAGCCCCAAGTCCACTGTTTGTTTCTTCTCTGACATCTCGTGCTAGCGATTCAGCCGTTCAACACAGTTCCTGCTGGATGCTCGACGTAATAACCGAATGTGATGTGCGCATGCGCATTGCTAGAGTCTACATATGCCTTATGACATGCGGTTTCACTGCCATTATTAAATGAGCCAGCAAGCAGTTTGAAGTGCTTATTTATGAAGGCTCTGAATAATGAATATTAAGGGTGAATTTGCCTTAAGCTTTTCATGTATTTATTTATTGTTTGTTTGTTTGTGTGTATTTTGTTATATATTTTTTCTAACGTTAACATTTTTATCAGGCTCCTATGTAGGCCTATAGGTTTCTACCTAAGTACCGACATTTCTGAATGGGCTGAGGCTGGGATTTAGTGAGTTTGAAGTGAAAGTATTTGATGAATCGAACCTAGCCTATAGCCTATATACTGTGCGGAGAGCACTCAATATTATTATCCCATTTTTGACATATGGTGACTTTTAGGCTACTTTTTAGTCTTCATATATATAACAAAAACATTTACAAATACATACATTTGAAAATGAAAATGATTTATGTAGGCCTAATTATAAAAATGGCAGGTTTTTTTTTACAATGACTAGTGAAATTCTGCATGAAAATGAGTATAACATAAAGGTGGATCTCAAAAATAATCTTACAGCCAAAGGCATGAACATTTTAGTCTAAATAAATGACAGCACATGGACCACAAAACCACACATCCCACAATGAAAATTGTCCTGTGGCTCCAATTTGTTGACAGACGGTGAAACCTTCAACCAAGATATTCTTTTTTGAAATTATTTTGTAATCATCCAAAATCCAAATATAAGTAGACAGCAAAAGTAAATCATTTAGATAGGATGATTACAGTACTCGTTTTTACTGACAAATCCAGCTAACGCAGTAAACAAGAAAGGACATCTGGACATGGAGATGAGGAGAATCCCATTTTGCTTCAGGGGCTGGCCGATATGACCAAATTCTTAGTTCACGATATGAGAAATTGTATTTTACAATAACGATATATATCGCGATATAGTTATTTTGTGTTATTTTATCTCATTTCTTTTAACAATAAGTAAAAAGACAAATCAAAACACAATAAGACAAATGCAATATAATAAAAATATGAATTAAACAAATTACATTTTTCAGGTAGGCCTACATCAGGTTTATTTAACGTAGTTAGAACCTACAGAAATTTAATCAAATGTAAAAAATAAAAATATTGCATAGTCTTCACTGTATGAATTCATATAAATTTATATTGAAGCTAAAAAATAAGTTATTCAGTCAAGAGAGCAGTAAGTTATTTTCTCTTTTGTTTGATTCACGGATCCATTATACTGATACTGTCGTTCTGTCGTGGGTTCTGTCGTGCACTTCTGTCTAGTTTATTTCTTAGTTTAGTGACAGAGCTCTGACACCTGTTTTGTCATGTCATTGTGTGGGCGCGCGGCTTTGAGCGTTCTCGAGCCGTGCGCTCTCTTGTCTGTATGCCATGTTACACGTCCGGGGCGTGGTGTTTGGATCCCGGCACGTCAGTCTAGTTTGGTTTTGGTTCTGTGTCGGGATTCGGACATGCATGCTTCGCGTGTTTGTATTCTGCCGTGAGCTCACAGGATGAGTTTTCGCTCGTTCTCGTGCGGTCTTTTGTCGTGTGAGCGTGCGGTTTCGAGTTCGCTCCGGTCGTACGCTCTACCGCGTGTGTTGTTGTATTTTGTGTAGCACGCGGTTCGTGTTTACATCGGCCGCGTGCTTTTTCATGTCATGTTTAGTCTTTTACTGTGTAGCACACAGCTTGTGTTTTACACTAGCTGTGTGCTTTGCTTTCATGTTGTCATGGTTTGTATGAACACGTGGCTTAGGAGTTCTCATTGGCTGCGTTCATGTCTTATTTTGTGTTAGCACGTGGCTTGTGATTTGTTTTACTGGTCATGCTTGTGTTCAAGTCATGTTTGGTGTGAGCACATGGCTTGTCATGACTCATGTATGTTTTCTTGTGCCATGTGCTCTCCTGTGATTGTCTAGCCCCGCCCATCTTGTTACTGAATCATTTGCCCCACCTGTCCTCCCTCTTTGTTTGCTCTCCCTATTTATTCTCCTTGTTGTTTGCAGTCCTGTGTTGGAACGTCGTTAAATGTTACCTTGAGAGTTTCCCTGCATGTCATGTCGAGTTAAGTCTTGTTTTCCCCCATGGGATAGCCTAGTTTTTGTTTTTGTTTTTGTTTTTATTTTATTAAAGCTCCCTTTACTCATGATGGCAGATACATATCTGGTTTACACCCAACTGTTTACTTTCACTTGAGACATAAGCAGTTGTGCTTACATGAATACTCCACATGATGGCCATCTTGGTGTAATTGCGTTTGTATTTGACCATTCAAGCGCAATAAGACGTGAAAGAGAACTGAATTCGCGATCGCAGTCTGAGAGACATGGCTTCTGTGTGTCAGTCCAGTTTTTAACATCAAGCATGTGAACTCATGTTATCGCATAACTATGTTCATATTCATGCATTTAATCACTCTGAAGTTTCAATAGTGCTTTATTTACATATTGCGATATACACGATATAGCAAAATCTCTAACGATAGACATTTTATACCGTGGTAACTATATTGTCATATAGCTAGCTTCAGATTTATACTATAGTCCCAGAAAAGATGGTGAATTACTAATCAAAATAATTGCATAAGGCTTGGGAGTCTTGGAATAAAGTGGAAGGATCATTGCAGTCCATCTCAGGTAAGGGCCTGGGAATATCTCATACCTGAGACTGCAGTTACACTGTGGCGCCTGGAGTCTCAGGAGAAGGGGAGGGGGGCCGTCAGACTGACTCGCAGCCTTTCTTCCTATGTGAGAATGCCTTTCATTGGCCCCTCCAGGACAGTATCGCAACTGAGTCCTCATAGAGGCTCCAACCCTGCCCGGCCAGTCTGGCAGTCTCGCTTCCACCGGTCCTTATCAGGACGGAGATCACAATATGGCCTGAGGGGTGCTATAGGACGAGCAATGGGGACGGGAGGGTTTTATAGGACGGAGGCCGTCATCACCCCCAGCTCCCATCTCACTGATCACTCAGATTAATGACACGACTCTCCTTCTGCCAGTGAAAGTGACAACACACCAGAACACGGGGCTGTCTACCTGTCCAAGTGCTCTTGATGAGATAATCGCCCCTTTCATTCGGCATAAATAGAAGAATGCCAAATAAGTCAGTGAATGCTTCACCGTGAAGACCGACGGTTGTGCTATATATGAACTTTCTTTCGTGGTTTTGCAATGAAAACATTATTTTTTCATTTTGGAAGAATTGACTCTTGGGGATAATGATTATGATCATGAAAAAAAAAATAGTTTAATCATCCAATAAAAAGCTTTGGTCTTTTTAAAATCTATGTGGAGTGATATGCTTCCTGGATATCTATCATGTAATCTCACCCACTCATCAAATCTGAGCCCTTGTTTTATGTGATATACATTTTTTTTATATATATTCAATTAATAATAAGTCAAATAGTGTGATAGATAGCACTCCAAAAGAGTATATTTGTGGAAAATAAATATTTTTTTAAAAATCTGCAATTTCTCCAACCCATATTTCTGCCTATCTAATTCAACTGTCTGTCAATAGGAATTTTACTCTCATATTTTTCATCTGTGTTTCTTGAAAAGGCCTGTCAGCTGGAGCTTGAGGTACAGTTTGCCAACAGCCTAATGACCCTTTATGGCAATACAATCTGATGTCTGTCCCAGCCGTCCGGTAATCCTGTCCACCTTTGCGGCTTAGTTATGCTCAGGCTTAAGTTGCATATTTTGTATTTATCAGGATTTTGCTGATAAATGCTATCAGCAAGAGAGAAATGAAATATGGGAGGTCTATCTCAAGTTGCAAGAACAGACGGTTTTTCAGTACTGAACCACCAGTGATGCAGATATCCTGTCGTTATTCTCTTATATTTATTACTCAAGACAGAATTTGAGTTTTATAAAAACCTCACAGTGAAAAAAGGATGTATATGCTTTTCTGTTTCATACATTTTAGATAATACATCAGTAGATCAGTTTCCATCATTCCGTGACAGTTTTTCCCCAGATTTATCCGTCCAATACACACATACTCCGAAACAAAGAACTCCATGCAACTCGAAATAAACTCAGAATAAAGAAAATGTTTTCCAATGTAAACACTCCATTATTTAGAGTACATCAGTCATGGCTGCATAAACAACCTAAAGCCATATTCTGCATATAATGTTAATTTACTCATTATTTATATTAAATGCTCTTAAAATGATTCATGACAAAAAAAAAAAAAAGCTGCTTATGGGGTCACGTGTGACGTTCATATATGAACAGTGTGAACAAATTGTCAAACCACAATTTCATCAGGCCCTCTATCAAAGTAAGATGCAAAATATGGGCACAATCATTTTTTAATTCCACATTCCACTTAAAATGACAATAAACATTGGGCCTCAGCCCTGCTTGTGTAAATGAAGCATTGTTAAATGAATATATACGTTTTGAACAGAATTTTGGCAATGCAATGGTCATATTTGTCTGACCTCACAGTAGTTCATTGTGATTGGTGCATGGCTTATACTGAAAGGTCTCTCTCTCGCTCTCTCTCTCTTTCTCTGGAATGACATTCTCAAGTGAATGTCGCTCATCAAGGGGCTTACGGAGTAAGTGATAAAGTGTTCCACTCTAATACCTGCCCGCTTCTCATCTGTCATCTATAAAGAGGATTGGAAATGAAGCAACATTCTTCAGGATATAATGACCTCCGAAGCATACAGAGGGATATTGTAAAACATATAAATGGAGAGGGAAAATGTGTTTTGGGTTTGATCAAAGAAGTAAAACTGCAGTTGCTTATGACCATGATCAGTTCCAATATACATAGGCCTACTAAACCATATATATTGTCGTCCATCATAATTACGATTCAATGTTAAACTGAAACGATATTGATTTAACCAGTGTTTTATACTCTCCTTGATTTCAGGTTGCACAATGCGATATATGGAATTGAGTAATGCTCACCATGTGACTACATAGGCCCGGAAATAGCCCTGA